AACATTTCTTTTTGTACTTACGGGTCTTTGGTCTGAAGGAACTTGAATCTCGGAACTTGGATCCCAGCTTTGTCCAGAGAAACTCATGCTTCCACTGCCATTACCTTCGTCTTCCATTGCTTTTACCGAAAATCTTAGAACAAGCTGCTTCTTCTTCTTACCATCATCAACGCCATATTTAACGATCGACGAAGAATCATGGTAGTTACCGAGCTTACTGCTACAAACTCGGTGAGAAGATTTCTTCGGAATCAAAGGGTAATTAGCGTTTAATCTGAGCATTGCTCCTCAATCTGATTGTTTTCGTATCGTTGATTGAAGAAGATTAGAGGTAAGTGAAGCATAGCACCTGAAAGACGGCAAAACAGAGCCATAAAAAATGAAATAATCTGTTTTTAGTTTTTGGTTTATTGCGACTTGTGGCGTCTGTCTCTCGCCACGTGGCAGAGTCTCCCTTGCACGCAGTTTCGTGGGCATATCATCGTCTTTCCAGTAAGTTTCCACGAGCATCTCTTATCTCTTTGATTCAATGATATATGGATCAAACTCGAGGATAGAACCATAAATTACGTATCAATCAGACGGTAAAAGCATAATTACGGAACAAGTTGAGGATATAACATCAATTATAGACAATTCAGTGGGTAAAACATCGATTACCGAATAGCCCGGGGGCTTATTCATAATTACAGAACAAACTTTACTGTAAAGCCATTAATAATATGGACCAATGGGATAGTAAAACAATAATTACAGACCAAACTGAGGGTAAAACCATAAATATGTACAAATCCGAGGGCAAAATAATAATATAAAAACAAATCGAGGGTAAAACAATAATTATGCAATAAACTGAGGATAAAATCATAAATATGACTAGCCAGAGGTTAAAACTATAAATATGGATAAACCAGTTGACAAAGCATAATTTCGAACCAAATCGAGGGTAAAGATACAATGTTGGTTTAATTTAGTACAGTCGTAATTTTCGTCCTGTGAGTTCGTAAACGCAAAATCTAAAATACAATTTCGATTACCAGAATACCTACTAAATTAATAACAAACATGAAAAACAATATATAAAATATCAGACGTTTCAGCCACTGGAATTCACGATCAATAGCGTTTCAACGTTGGACAAATACAAACATCACCATGTTTAATAAAATACTTTAAAGAAAAGATGAACATTACCATTCAAATCATCACCAGAAAGTTTTCAGACACATCTCTGAGTTTCATTGACTTCTCATTCTGCTGGTTTCTGCTGCCCTAACTTGCGCGAAGTAAGCGTGCGCCTGTCATCAAATCAACAAAAAAGCATATTTTATTTACCTCCTCTCAATATGTGATTTGAAAAATAAAAAAAATGACAAAGTTTGTTTATTTTCTACGTACCATGGCTTCTCTTGCAGTTAATCTGTCTTGATGATCATACCGGAGTAGCTTGTCGAGGAAATCAATCGCCTAAACGGTTTAAGATACAACCCGTTAAAACCCAACTAAACCATTTTCTCAGAAAAGGAATCAAAGAAACGAGTAACAAACCTCTGGTGAGACTAAGTGCTGATTGTCTGCGTTGATGAATTTGGACCAAGGTTTCCTGCTATGCCTGTGTTTACGTTCCATTGAACCAAAAATGATTCTCTTAGCTTTAGCTCATTACAAGGACAATCAGAAGCTCAGATATTTACAACATAATGTTGAAGATTTACATACCGCCCAACAAGTGCTTCGAGCTGTGGTTCAAGTTCTAACTGGTACTTATTTAGATACGCATTTAATTCATCTGTCCCAAGTACCTAAGAACAACAAGTAGAGATTTGTTCATGACGACATTGGAAACAGGAGATCTGAAAAAAATTCTAAAACTTAGTTCACAAATTTTACCTTGGCGATTTTCACTAATTGATCCTGATTGTCGTGGCCGTAGAAGAAAGGTTCCTTACGGAATATCTAAACAAGGAATGATAAATAGTTGGCCAAATCAGATCACCACAATACAGTTCAGAAACATTCTTAAAAAAGGAAAGTCTTCCAAATGTTACATTATGCACTCACCATCCCAGCAAACATGCAGCCAAGGCTCCACATATCCAATGAATAATCATAATCTTGCAAGTCTACAAGAAGTTCGGGACCCTTAAAGTATCTGATAGTCATTAAAGAGATAACATCAGAGTGAAGCTTGGCTACAGCGAAAAGGGAAGTAGAGGATATAAAGTAAAAAACCATACCTTGAGGCAACACGGACATTATACTCTTTTCCAGGGTGGTAAAACTCAGCGAGACCCCAATCTATAAGGCGAAGCTTACGCAGCTCATGGTCAATCATAACATTGTGAGGCTTGACGTCTCTGTGCATTATTCCTTGTGAATGGCAGTAGTCCAGTGCCTGCAACAAGTAGTTGACCGAAATGTGAGTATGNAGTCAAATGGAATATTTATAATCCAACTGATACAGAAGTTTACCTTCAACAGCTCATAGATGTAGTAACGAATGTCGTAATCAGTCAACGTAGGATACAGAACTTTAAAGTCTGTGCTGTTAACATATTCAAATATCAAGCTTGGAGTTTTCGAATGTTGATCTCTAACAACATCAAGCAGCTTGACAATATTTGGTCCACCACAGAGGTTCTGAAGTATTTTAATCTCTCTTCTTATCTGCGAAAGAAGTACATAACAATTCAAGAAACTACCGCAAAGCATCAAATTCAAATCTAAAATCTCGTTATGACAATTCACCTTCTTTTTCTTAACAGGTTTGAGGATTTTGATTATACACTTCTCCTTGCTGTTCACATTAAAGCCCTCAAAAACTTCGCTATATTTTCCACGCCCGACCTTCCTTACTACCTCATAATCATCTTGCTCCCTGAGAGAACAAAGAACAAGATCAAAACTTTTTAACAGAAGGATCATTGTTTTTACATTAATACAAGAACTTAAAACAAGATGTTCAAAACTAAAAACCAAATTCATCATCTAATAGATTCAGTCACAAATTTTCGTTAGCAGCTATAAAAGCTCAGTGTCTACTCTACACTAACTGTATCAATTTAATTAGCTTAAGCTTATATCTAGTAGCAAACCCAGAGCAAACTGAAATCAAAATCACTACAAAACCTAGAAAAGATCGAGTATTTTCACTAACCCTCTACCAATTCAGCTGATCTCAAAACGAACACAAAAGGTTCAACATAAAAAGGGAAAGTTCCTAGAGTTTTAACAATCTTACCCCCATTGAACATTAAGCGACTCGTAATCCCAATAATCCTTGGGTCGAATCACGTTAACGTCGGTGTAAACACGAGCTTTCGACATCCCTCGTGCCTGACCAAAANCAGAGATCTCTTCGAGAGATCCGAGATTGATTCGACCGATCGTGGTTTTACCGTAGACGTTCCAAGCAACTGTCTCTGTGGGAGTGAAGACAGATGAGCGTAGGATAGGAGAGTGCGCCAACGGCGCACGTAAGTTCAAGACGGCGCACAATAACAAGAAACGTCGAAAAGGAGATTC